CTTAAGGTAGCCAAATGCCTCGTCAGCTAACTACTGACGCGCATGGGGGTCATGCTTCAGGCGTCCATGTCGCACCCCTGGTAACTCCTGCGATCGAGTTCTTCGAGCGTCAGCGAGGCTAACGGTGAAGCAAGTGTTCAAGGCGAGTAAGCGGCTAGCGAGAAAAGTGGCCGTATTGAACACGTAATGGAGAGTCAGTCCCCCGAGGTGCTGACCTTACCCTCTGACCCTGGTGACCCTGGTAACGGGCACGACGCCCTACAGGCGAGGGGGAGGAGAAATCTCTGGTCCGCTTGCGAACTGGAGAAACTCTCACGCTTTGTCATTGACTATAGGCGTGGGAACCGGATCGATTGGCCGTCCCTTGCGCAAGCATGGGATAGTACAAGAGGTCCGGGCGACGCGCGCAGGACGGTGTGTGCTTTAAAGAGCATGCACACAAAGCGTCGCAGGGAGCAGCAAAGAGCGGGGGCTAGCGTACCGCTCGGAGCTGCTTCAGCAGAGGAACTCCAGGGCAACGACATCGCCCAGGAGGACTCTTACCCAGATGTTGGCCCTCCGGTTGATCCGGAAGTAACCAGATCTAATCCTGTGGCGTCGGACCTCGAGGAAATGCTTATCCAGAGGTTCGAAGTCTACTTTAAAGTTGCCATAGGCTCCTATGATAGACGCCCTGTAAGGAGGCCTGAGGGAGAAATCCCGAGGGACCTCCTGGCAGCTGGTAATGCGGTGCTTGCTCGCAAGCTAGGAAGTCTACCAGCAGCCAACGGACGTCAGTGTATATCCAGGCTGAATGCTGCAGTGTACGCTATTGCTCGTTCAATTGCTGCCACAGCGGACAGCCTGAGGCAAGAACGTATGCCTGACGATCCCAAACGCCGTCTTAAGGAGCTCATAGAACTTCGGAGATCCCAGTTATGCGTTGTTTCGACGCTTACTGAGGAAATTCGAAGACGCCAAGCACTGCGCCAGCGAAAGGAAGGGGCTAAAGTTCGACCCAGCCAGAATTTTCTCCGAATAGCGGCAGTGCATCATATCCGACGTCGCGGAGAGTTGGGACGTGTCATCCGGAAGTTTAAAGACCAACTAAACGTGACGCAGCTCGAAATTAGGAAGTTGGAAGAGGCCCGACGTCGAAAGCTAGTCCGACGGAAGGGAGCTTCCTTTGTGGTCCAGGAGCGTGCGGAATTCCCATCGCAAGTCCCTGTAGCCAGTGTGCGCGCATACTGGCTACCGATCGTTGGGATGTCCAGACCCTTCGAGGTAAGACCTGAACTCGAAGAGTGGTCAAGGACCTTAGGGCCGCTACCTAGAGAAACCCCTCTTCATTCTGGCGAGCTGACCGAGGACGCCTGGAAGACCTTATTTACGAAGGTTAGACCTTGGAGAGCAGCTGGGCCAGATGGTATCCAAGGCTTCTGGTGGAAGCACCTGCCAGAAGCCAGGCAGCGCTTGAAGTCGTGGTGTCTTCGGGCACTACGGCAGCCGCGCAAGTCGATCCCGAACTGGCTTTGCCAGGGTAGGGTGGTACTGATACCGAAGAAGAGAGGCGACCCTAACGCGCTCGGACCTGGAGACTTCCGACCAATAGCATGTTTAAATACATGCTACAAGATCCTGACTGGCATGATGGCAGAACATATCTCCAAGATCGTAGGAGACCGGTTTCCCGGTAGTCAAGTGGCCCTACGAAAAGGAGTATGGGGCTGTACGCATGCCCAGATATTAGACCAGACCATCGTCAAGGATGCTGAGCGGCATAAGAATGAGCTGCACATGCTCTGGGTCGACATGACAAAGGCGTACGATTCCCTGCAACACGGCGCCATTAAATGGGCCGTCAGGCAGTGGAGTGTTCCATCAGATGTTCGTCGCCTTTTGTCGACCCTTATGTCTCTCCAGACTGTTCGGTACTGTGGTTATACGAATGGGCGGCAAGTCAAGAGTCGTCCTCTGCAGATCAGAAATGGTCTTATGCAAGGCGACACGTTGAGCCCATTGCTATTCTGCCTAACCATAGCACCTCTCTCGGCGTGGATCCAGGCCCACATCAGGCCTTACCAGACGACGTCCGGTTCAGGGCCCCGCTCTGACGGCCCCTTACAGGCCAGCCATGTGTTCTACATGGATGACCTTAAGGTGTGGACGCCTGACTGGGACAACCTGATGAAAGCCCGTAAAGGGATCCAGCGAGTCGCCGGGTTTCTCGGTCTGCAGATGAACATGAGCAAATGTGCTATACGGTCGCTTAACTCTGAAGACATGGGGCAAGATCATGGCTCCGAGGTAGGCTCAATACCTATTCTCGGTGGCAACGAGGTCTATAAGTATCTGGGAGCCGAGCAGACTGGGCTTGTCTGCTTTGAGGATCTATGGTCTCGGGTCGCAGAATCCGCGACGGCCGCGGCCAGGAGATTGTTCTTCAGTAACCTGACGGTTCGCCAGAAGGTTAGTGGGTTCAATCAAATGGTCGTACCGAAGCTCAAGTATGCGTTCTCGTGCATAGTCTTCGGAGCGGGCAGGTTCAGGACGCTCAGAGCGCGAGCCCGTTGTTTTGACTTGGAGATGCGGCGACTGTTAGTGGACTCTCTCATGAGGTTCAAGACCAGTTGCAGCGCGCGCCTATATGTCGGGAAAGAAAGTGGAGGCCTAGGAATGAAGTCAGTAGTGGAGGAGCTAGATCTTAGCGTCACGTATACGTGGTGCTACCTTGCCACGAACACTGATTTCCTGGTCTCATTCGAGCTATCAGAGCGTTTGCGTGCGAGTACCAAACGGTCGATAACGTCTGACTTTCAGGCTGTAATGGCTGCTAACGGGTTAGACGGACGCGTATCTCGTACGGTTATGGCGACTATCAAAGTAGACAACCAAACGTTCTACACGGCCACGAAAGCGGCAAGAGCTGTATCTAGATTGATTCGCGAGAGGTGGGCTAAGCTTCACCTAGACGAGTGGAAAGGTAAAGATACAGCTGGGCGAGTGCTGCACGAACGCGGGCGTGACGGTAACCTGACCGGACTATGTCTGAAGGATTCGTTCCTTTGGTCCGCGAATGGTCAGGTGTCGTCGGAAGTCCTTAGAAACGTTTGGGGTGCCCAGGAGGCTTCACTCCTCACCAAAAGCAGTGCCTGCGCAAGATCTATGGCACTTGCTGGTGATGGTTTGTGCCGCATGCGCTGCGGACCCTATGCAGAGACCGCCGAACACGTGGTCTCCGCGTGTGGCTACTGGCGGACCAGTTTAATGGTCGAAAGACATGATGAGGTAGCAAGGGTCCTATACAATTCTATCAGGCGCAAGTATAACATCTCAGAAGTAGTGAATACCCATCGGCCACATGTGGTCGAAACAGCGGATGTGGTTATTCACTGGAATGATAGCATCGTCACGAGCGAAGGACTGAAGCATAACCGTCCGGACCTTCTGGTTTGGGATAGGCATGCTTCGCGGATTTGGATAATTGAGGTCTCGATCTCATGGTTCACCCGCGTCCTTGCTCAAGAACGACGTAAGCTCGGGAAATATGCTGTAAATAGCACTCTACCTGAGGAGACTGGACCAGATGGGTTCCATCCAGGCCCAAATCTCCGAGCAGTCCTGCAAAAGGACCGTAAGTGCCGGGTAGATGTCGTACCTATTGTCTTAGGAGCATGCGGAGAGGTATCGTCGAACCTAAGGCAATATATACGTTCCCTTGAGCTTCGAGACGACGCTACTGTCCTGATAGAGCGTATGCAGCGTAGTACCATTCTCGGCACAAACAGGTTGGTGAAATGCCATCTTTCCAACAGTATGGAGTGAAGCGAGGGCCATGGAGTCGCAGCGAAGTATGTAAGGTGCACTGGTGCTGATGTGCTGGTCAGTTCGCCCGGACCAGCGCAGTGCATACACTGAAAAGCTGCTATGGACTCGACACGTTTAAAGTTTAACGGGGAGGTAACAGGCTAGTCTCTGCGTTAAAAATCCAAAAAAA